CCCAGCACCTGGCTCCCGGGCTGCTCTGAGGGCCAAGGGGAGGAGCAGGTACCTTCCCGGGCTGCTCCAGCGCCTGCCCCTTGGGCCAGCGCTCTGGCTGCGGAGTGGCGCCCCAGGCGCAGGGAAGAGTGCAGCCGGGTCATCAGCTCAGAGGCCGAGAAGCGCCTCCGCTCGGGCCCCTCCAGGCCCCCTCGGGTGGGCCCCGCCAGCTCTAGAGGCCGAGGCTCCTCTGTGCTCAGAGGCGGCTCTGCCACCTGGCCAGGCTCCAGGAAGACAGCGTGGGCCTCGGCGCTGCCAGGGGCCTCTTCGCTCTGGTACACCCGCATCTTGCGCCCTGCAGGTGGGGTGAGAGCACAGGCTGGCGACCGCGGAGGTCTCTCCCACCTCCTCTCTGCCGCTGCCCTGTGGCCCTGAGCGTCTAGGCAACATGCCCAAGTGAAAGGGCAATGCGTTTGCTGAGAGCTGGTCCCCCGAGAAATGAAATCAACAAGAGGGGCAGAGGGAACACAGTGCCTGGCTGCAGTGGGCAAAGGGTGGGCAAAGGGCCACGGTGCCCAGGACAGCCACTCACTTGCTGTGACTGCAGGCAAGGCATTCCCCGTCTCCCTGAGTTCCGGGTCCCTATCACGAAAACCTACCACTCATCCTGCCTGTTTGGGGGGACTCTGGGGCTTAAGAGTCCTAAAGAGCCAGCAACCTCTCCCCTACTCACCCCCCTGGGCCACCCCGACCCCCCACCCCCATCACCCAGAGTGACTCACAGGCTGACTTCTTCTCCGAGCCATGGCTGGCTCGGCGCTGAGGCTGTGGGTGCTGGGGACCCCAGGGTCCCTCCAGAGGTGGGGGCTGGGCACTAGGACAGTGTGGCCAGCTGCCAGCCCTGCTGGGCCGCATCCCCCCACTGGGAGAGATCTCGGTGTCTGGGACTCCTGGGGACGGTGACCATAGCAGCCCTTGGAGAGGAGCAGGGGTCCCCAGGGACCAGCGGCTGCCAGGAGCCTGCAGCTCCTCTGGGGTGACAGGGAAGAGATCCAGACACACAGAGCTTGGGGGCTGCAGGGCGGGCAACTCCACAAAGGACAGACTCTCCTGCTGGCACACAGCTACTGGGTGGCAGGCAGTACCAGGTGGTCCAGCCAGGTGGGGCTGGAGGGTGGCAGGCGGCCCACAGTCCATTCCTCCTTTGCTCTGCCCGTCACCTGGGCCTGGAGGGGAGAAGATATCAGAACCAGACAACGGACAGCAGGGCTGGCCAGGAAGCCACCACGTCCTGGAGGCCTGGACAAACCCTTATGTAGACATGTGTACACACATGTGTACCAGCTCGCTCACACACCTAATGATATAGGAATCGCTAATACTTACATGGCATTTAATGAATGACAGGCCAGGAGCTTTATACATTGTATCTCATCTAATCCTCACAACAACCCTGAGTTGATGCTATTATTATCCCCATCCTATAGGTGAGGAAAGCGGGGCGCAGAGGTACTTGGTGAATGGTGGAACCGGGATTCAAACCCAGGCTGTCCAGCTTCTGAATCTGTGCTTTTAACCACCTTGTGCATTTTCTTACGTTGACATATGAGCAGATACACAGATGCATACACTGTCACGTACATCCACACGCATTTTCTCCCAAGTACACACACACTGACATACACAACTTCACAGATACGCTCAGACCTTTCACATTCACAGGCTCACACATTCACACACTTCTTTACACAACTACACATTTTCACACACAGGGGCCCGTCCGCTATTCACATGTCCACTCCAGCTTTCTCCCACTCCTGTTCCACTCACACTCATGCACCAGGATGCAGACACAAACACGCAGGCCAAGGAAGTCCTGGCTTTGGTGTTACCCAATCTCCCTGCCCATGCCCAGAGTTGCAGCTTTCCGTGCTGAGTGGTGCCCACACCCATGCCAAGCTGGCTGGGAGAGTCACAGACTGGCAGGCGCGCCACCAGGCAAATCAGGCTGGGCACTCCCAGGAGCAGGACAGGGAGGGGTCCCAGCCCCCCCAGCTTGGGGCGAGAAGGGTTTCTTCCCCACCCCGGCTCCCAGCCCCAGGATCAGGCCAGGCTGGACGGGTCCTCCCTGCATAGGAAGTCACCCCAGGGAGGCTGCTGAAGCCCCGGGACAGGCCTCATGACCCAGGGGTCCAAGCCCCCACAGCCCTGGCCCTCTGCCGGCGGCCCTCCTGCGCCCCTCACCTCTCCAGCTGAGGCTGCTGCTGATGGTCCGCTGCTCCGGCAGGGGAAGCCCTCTCTTTGCCCAGCTGGCTGGGGGAGATCCCACCCAGACAAAGAGTTTGATTCATCAAACCCTGTGGTGAGGCAAGCGGTAGGGAGGGAGGGAGGGAGCAGGCAGCGGCTGGGCGGGGGCCTACCCTAGCCTGGCCTCGCTGTGGGCAGGCGGGGCAGCGAAGACCCCCCCATCCCCAGAGGCCCCTCAGGCCAAAAGGGCAGTGCCCAGCCTGGCAGGGCCAGGAGGCCCCGGCAACAGAGACCTGGAGAAAGGGAGCCCTTTCAGCAGCAGCTGAGACACTGAGACCCAAAGTGCTGAGACAGTCGGGGACGCAGAGATGGAGACAGTGACGCTGACAATCTCAGACAGACCGGATACGGTGAAGCCCAGAAAAACCCAGGGAGCCAGATGGAGGAACATGTCGTGCCCTGAGGGGCTGCCAGTCCAGTCGGGGAAGCCAAAAACGGACACAGTTACAAGCCAGGTTGGCAAAAGCAGAGCCAGAGGGACCATCAGAGCAGGGTGCTGGGCTCGACTGACCTGCGCTTTCCAGGAAGGCTTCCTGGAGGAAGTAAGCACTAACTGTTCTGACTGAAATATCTAGGGACCAATACACAGAGATTAGGGAGAAAGCCTTGGCCTGAGAGGAACGGTGACCGGTGACCGTGCCAGTGACCCTGGGAGGAAGGGAGAGAGGACCCAGTGGGGACAGCTGCATCTGTGACTGGACCCCACTCTCTCTGCACCCAGCCTCTCAGCTCTTTTTTTATTGATTGATTGATTGATTTCAGAGAGGCAGGGAGAGGGAGAGAGAGATAGAAACATCAATAAGAGAGAATCATTGATTGGCTGCCTCCTACACACCTCCTACTGGGGATGGAGCCTGCAACCAAGGCATGTGCCCTGACCGGGAATCGAACTGTGATCTCCTGGTTCATAGGTCAACCTTCAAGCACTGAGCCATGCCAGTCAGGCACTTTAGCTTGTATATTAAACCTCTGTCCATCTAAGCAAGTCTCTCAGTTTCCTCATCTGGTAACTAGGATAGTCATGCCAAACACTCATATGAGAATTAAGGATAACATAGTAGGAGCTTTGTCATTGATAGTCATTCTTCAGAGTGTTATTAGTCTTTCTCCAGTCAGGGGCTATCACACAGATGGGGAAACTGAGGCAGTGAGGGTGAGACATACTCTACTTTGTAGAAGCATCTGGCAGGGGACAGGGGACCACTGTCCACTCAGATCTCTGTCTCTCCAGGAACCAGAAGCCCTCAACACTTGCTTCTGTGGGCACAGGCATGCAAGAACTCACGCATGGAAGAACACACACATGGAAGAACACATGCATGCAAGAACACACATGGAAGAACACACACATGCCCCCGCTTCCTTGTATCCTGGGAGACTTTCTCCACTTGGGTTCTGCAAGCTCCTGAAGGGCAGGGAGGAACCACCCACTCCCCTGTCAGTTGCAGAGATAAATGAGCAAAACATGGCGCCCTGGGGGCAGGAAAACCCCTCCTGAAGCCTCAGGGGAGAAGGCTGGGTGGTGGAAAGCTTTCTCGGGGGAGACAGGCTGGAGGCAGGTCTCTAGGGGGGAAGCCAGGGTCCAGGCCAAGTGGCAACAGGAATGACCCATCTAGCTCGGCTGCTGGCCCTGTGACCTTCCACTCTACCTCAATGCTGGGGACCCAGGATGGGCAGAGCTGTGTTTATATTGTGTGTAGCTCATCTCTGCTGGAAAAGAAAAAAGCTTCGAGAACTGGCCAAGGGAGCAGGGATATTACCTGCCCAAGACATGACTGCAGGAGACTCTAGTGCCCACTCGGCCAGCCACAGTCCTTCTGGAACCCGCAGGGGAAAACCCCTGCCAAGGTTCAAGGCCCAGTGTGGACATGAACAAGTTGTGTGGCCCTAGGCAAGTCTGTCCCTGGGCCTCAGTGTCCCCATCTGTAAATCAGGCCCTTCCGCAGGATGAGAAGGATGGTCAGGGGCCCAGGGTCCATCCAGTGGGCACTGCTAATCACAGGACAACGGATCCACTTGGCAAGGCTGGCAGAGAGGGTCCCTGGGCACTACCATAGTCCAGGGAAAGCACCTCTGGCCTCCTGTGCCCAGCTTTTCCCTGCCCCTTCCCTGGTGCCCCTTGCCCTGGTGCCCAGAGGAGTAGGGACCCTCAGCCCCTAAAGGGACAAAGCCAAGCGGAAGGTCATGGCTGGAAAGGGGATCCCGGCCCAGCAGGCTGTGGAGCCCCAGGAAGCCCCAGTGAGTGCGGCGGGCAGCACAAAGGACTCCCTCTGGAAGACTGGCGGGAGAAGGATGGGCTGCTGGCAGCCGGGTGGGGCCCTACCTCAGCCAGGGAGCTCCTTCCGGTCCAGCCTCCGGCCCGGTCCAGGGCTCCAGGCCACCCTGGGGGCTCTGGGGTTGCAGCCAGGTCCTCAGGGGGCGATGTCAGCATGGCCCCTGAGCCCGGGCAATGCAAGCTCCTGGGTATTGTGTGGGGCAGGGAGGGGGGAGGTGAAGGCGGAGGGAACCTCGCAGGCGGGCAGGCGGCTGTCTCAACGTGCCTGCTCCCCGCCCCCCTTCCCCAGAACCGGTTTGGCCAGTCTGGGGTACAAGAGGGGGGCTGGAACAATGGGAGTCCTATGCCCAGGAGAGGCTCTGAAGGACCCCAGACCGACACCCTAAAGATGGGAAGGCACTGCTTTTCCTCTCAGGAGACAGGTCACCTTCTTCTAGAGCCTCCCGAATGTGAGGCTGCTCAAGACTTCCTTTGGGCTGGGGAGCATCCTGGGGCCTTCGCAGGGAGCCTCTCAAACCTTGGACTCCTCAGGGACCTTGAGAACTCCTTGGTGAGCTGACCTCTCTGAGTCGCTACAGCATCTATAAAATGGGAACACTCATCTCTATGGTTGGGAGATGGAAATCATGAAGGTAGGTGATGTGATGCATCTGCCATCATCCCGGCAGTCCTTCCAGCATCACCACTCCTCATGAATAACCCATCTCATCATCTCTAACAGCCTCCTCCTCCAGGAAGTCTTCCCAGACTCTAGTCCACACCCAATGAGCCCTCCATAAACCTATTCAAATAGCCCAAGCAGAACCAGTGCCAGGGAAGGAGGGCCTACTCTGTGCCTGGCATGCAATGTTCCCAACCTGGGGAAGGGGAGGCTGCTTTCTCCCTCATGCTACCTGCTATTCCTCTGAGCATGCAGGCACTTCATACATGAATATGTACATACCTACTAATATTCGTGTTGCTAATAACTCTTACTGTATATTCACTATGTGCCGGCACTCGCTGTTCCAGATACTGTTACAGCTCTCACTTCTTAGATGAGGACATGAAGCTTGCGCAGGTTGTAATGGGCATTATCCAATTTAAATCTCTCACTAGCTCTATGAAGTCCGTATCCCAGAGATGATGAGATGGAGGCTCTAGGGATTAAATAACTTACTCAAGGTCATGCGGCTACTAAGAGTTAGAACTGATATTCAAAATCCAGGTCTGCATGACTCCACCACCAACCTGTGTCTTTAATCACTGCCCTGTGCTGCCGCGCCAGGCTTTGGGGACGACCAGCTGGGTCAGTGATGGTGAACCTTTTGAGCTCGGCGTGTCAGCATTTTGAAAAACCCTAACTTAACTCTGGTGCCGTGTCACATATAGAAATTTTTTGATATTTGCAACCATAGTAAAACAAAGACATATTTTTGATATTTATTTTATATATTTAAATGCCATTTAACAAAGAAAAATCAACCAAAAAAATGAGTTCGCGTGTCACCTCTGACACAGGTGTCATAGGTTCACCATCACTGAAGTGGGCGAAGGGTTTGAAAGTCTGCTGGGAGGTGTCTCAGCTGACCCAACTAAGTCCTTTATTATTATTCATACACTACAGGCCTTAATGGACATATGGGGCAGGGCGTCCAGGCCCCAGGCCCCAGTGAACTCTCCCCCTATCAACTAGTGACCATTCAGTTCAAAATGAGTAGGTACCTCCACTCCCTCATATTCCTCTTGCCTGCCCCCCTCCCCCCAGCATCGTCCCATAGTGAGGAGACACTGCACACAGGTGATAGGGACAGTGTCCAGGGAGAGTCACCAAGCTGGGGCGCAAGGAGGTCTAT